CGTGTGTGTGCATGTGAAAAATGGCCTCTGGCTTTTGCTCAGGACTGCAACTCCACCGGATTGCTGCATGTGGAATTAGGAGTGAGAAGAAGCTCAAAGGATCTTTAAACCTGCGTTGGAATAGCCGAGATTTGCCGGGTTCGGTGCATACGCCGCTTTAGTGCTCATGAGCTTTTCCTTCCCATTTGCCTCTGCGTTCTTGGCTGGAAGAACCAGCTATTGTGCTGATGATGGTCGGATTTTCTTTTCCATGTACTTGTTGATCTGTGCACTAATCAATATAGCCATGGTCACAGCTTGGTTTCTTCCCTTCCTTGAGATTGTTATATTAGTGATTTTAATTTCTTTTTGAATGATCACCCTGCGTGTGCAGGGGGATTGGACTAGGTGACCTCTAGAGGTCCCTTCCAACCTTAACCATTCTATGATTCTATGATTGCTAACTTATGCCTTGAAGAAGCAGCATTTGAACCTTATTCATTCTTCTCTCCTCCTAACTATTTAAATCTACTTTAAATATTTTTGAGTTTCCTCAGGTGTTGTTTGTGTAGATAAAGGGCTGCGTTATTATTTTAGTTGTAAATCTGTTGCAGTGGCAGAACTGCTTGCTCTGTCTTATGTTAGAAATCATGTTAAACAGAGTCTAGTTAAACTCTTTCCGTCATCTATTGAAAGCCTGCCTAGTTAACAGGGCTTTCCTGGGAAAGAAGCTGGTGCTCTGCAGGGAGGGCGTTTTGCAGCCCTCGCTTCCCTGCGGAGTCGCGGTGTCTTCAGGAACGCGGCCGCTCGCTTCACGCCAGCCTTGCTATGATGGAGCTTTGCTCGCTCTTGGTGGGTTCTCCCCGTGGAATCCTGGGTTCCTTCGATCGTTCCTGCCCCCCGTACGTGGGCACTTTGTTGTCTTTGCTGGAGCCCTCAAAGCACCAGTGCAATTAAAACAGCCCCATTGGAATGTCCTTGCAGGCAGATGAGGCTCGAGGGAGGCGGTGAGGTGGGCTGGCCCTGCACGCTCACCCTGGGCACCAGGATCCCCGTGCACTGCTCCCGTGCCCGGCGGCGCTCGCTCCCTGTACCTGGTCCCCGCGCGTCCCTGCACCTGGCAACGCTCCCTGTACCGGGTCCCCGCGCGTCCCTGCACCCGGTGGCGTTAGCTCCGCAGACCAGGTCCCAGCGCGTCCCTGCGCCCCGCGGCACTCGCCCCTTGGCCCGGCGTGGAAGGCAGCAGTTTGAACGCCCCTTCCTGATGTTCCCCTGCCTGGCCAGCTTTGCAGAGGTCTGGCATTTGTACTGGCCCATTGCGTCTGTGATACATTAATGGCCAGGAGCCTCTGAACTGTCACCTGTGGCACTGGCATCAGTCCATTGGCCACCAGGAGCCCCTTGGGCAGCGTCGCCGCAGCCCAGCGGAGGGTGCGGGCCAGGTGCCGGGTCCTGCTTCACGGGGGCTTCGGGCTCGTTGTGGGGCCTGGGGAGGCTGTGCAGCAGGATGCAGCACCTGCACGAGGAGGGACGGTGCTCTTGCCTCCCCGCTTGTCTGCCTGCATTCTTCCCTCCTTGCTCCTCTGCCCAAACCGTTTATCACCTCCTGGATGGTTTCTACCCCGGTGATGTCAGCTGGGCTTGGTGTCCTGAGTCATACGTGATGCCTTGTGGTATCGCCGGTGAGTCACGGAGGCGGCTCCGTTTGGTGAGCCAGGCCGGGAGGGAGGCGCTGGGCTCC